TAATTTGACTATTTAATTGAGTGTTTACATACGTAATGAATGATTTTAGCAACCTTTGAGTTTCAAATTTGAATTTCATAAAAAAATATCCATGTGAATCGAGTGTAATCATCAACAATTGTTAAAAAAATAATGTACAACCGTATGAATTGCAGCACGATGAGGTCTCCAAATATCACAGTGAATAAGATCAAAAGAGTGCTTAGATTGAATGGAACCCAAAGGAAATGATAATCTTGTTTGTTTTGCCGGAGGACAAACTTTACGTGAATGTTAAGAATAAAAAATTAAAGAAGAAATTAGTTTGCACCAAAATTGAGATGGAGCTTTAGAAGGATGTCCCAACTGCTTATGTCAAGTGATAGCAGATGGAGTGGAGACATGATAAGTTACTGGTGTAGGTGGTGGCAACTCCGAGTGTGGCATCCTCTTTGAAGCTACGTCATGTGAAATACAAAAATTAGAAAAAAATTGGATGGAATAGTTTAGAGGACAAGCTTTACATGAATCAAAAATTAAAGAAGGAATTAGTTTGCACAAAAATTGAGATAGAGCTTTAGAAGGATGTCCCAACTGCTTATGCCAAGTGATAGCAGATGGAGTGGAGACATGATAAGTTACCAGTGTAGGTGGTGGCAACTCCAAGTGTGGCACAAGATAGAACAATCCCTCATGCTGTATCCCCAGGTCAATCATCCTCTTCGAAGCTAGGTCCTCTGAAATACAAAAATTAGAAAAAAAAAAAAATTGGATGGAATAGTTTAGAGCATATGCGAGTTGACTAACAGAAAGAAGATTGACATGAAAAGAAGGGACGCAAGGAACATCTTGAACATGTAAATTCTGAGAAAGGTAAGCAAGCAGAGCCAACATGACTGAGAACCATTTGGTAAGGAAACTTGTGAAGACATAGGAGTGTCACTGGTTATTGAAGAGGCTATTTGATGTGTAGCATTACTGTCAATAATCAAGGCATCAGATTTGGAAAGGTGTAAAGTGGACGAAGAACAAAAAGGCGTTGAAATACCTGTATAATTAGCACGTGGAGGGTTTTTACCATTTTGGAGGAAGGCCTAGATTTGAGAAAACACCTCAGAGGTGAACTGAAGTGACTGATCAGGTATTTTGGTTGTAATATAAGCAGGCTCTCTGCTTGCTTGATTAGCAGCAAATTTTTTATTTTGATTTGGAGGTTGAACATATTTTCCATGAAGCTTATGGCCAACGAGAATTCAATTAAATGGTAGCACCTTTCAACTGTATGAGTGGTGCCATCACAGTAAGTGCACTACAGTGGCTTGTTAGACTATTGAGGTTTTGAGGAAGAGGGCTTGACGTTGGTGATCGTAGTTTTGCT